ATATACACACAGAGTCTGGATTCAGTGTATCTATATGTACAGTGTATATTTACAGGTATTGCACTGCATAGTGCAGACATACTGTCGTGGGTCTAGTGGTCAATTGATTAATTTAATCATATTTATTAACCAGATGTTCTCGATAAAGCATGTTTGGAAATACAATGGAAACAAACAAAGGTTAATATATTGCCCCTTGTGTTTGTTTTATTGAAATAAATTAAAATGTATGTGTGTCTTCAGGGAAATACAGGACCGCCCGCTACTGAAGAAGGCACTGAAGACTTTGTGGGGGGCACCTATGTGCGATTTGATACCCCAAAAGCCAAGTTAAGGAGGAGCTGGCCAGGAGTCCGCGGTACTGTCTGTTTTAATCTGGTGCACTCGCTGCTCAGTTACCCTCCGACTCTACCAGATTGATTTGAAATGTAAACGCTGAGAAGGTTTTCACATCTCACTCTTCCCCAAACAGACATGATCCTGCATCGTTACGTGGTGTCCCGTGTGATCTGGGCTTACATGCTGTCGATCGCAGTGACCTACAGCATCACTCTGTGTCTGTTCCCTGGGCTGGAGTCGGAGATACGCAACCCCACATTAGGAGAATGGCTCCCCATCCTCATCATGGCCACCTTCAACATGTCAGATTTTGTTGGCAAGGTGAGCTGCAAACTTTTAACTTCTCAGGTAAAAAAGATCAAAACAAGTGAAGAAGCTCCAGAGAAAAGACAGATGACAAGCAAAATGTTGAGATGGTTTCATGACTGGAAGGTTACAATTATAATTTTATGACAAATAATCATAGCCTTTGAAGCACAAAGAGTAGTTTTAGATTTTTCATATAGTTTGAACTTCTCCCTTGTTCATAAGTCGCAAACTAGAAATCTTGGAACATTTCCACATTAGGTACTAACGGTATTGTTTCGTACCAAGCACTACTACCCCCTCCCCTGCAGGTCCACTTTCACATTAATAACATCATTCCAGGACCCAGCACGTGTACTTTATGCAAATACTGACGAATACATCGTTGAGTTTTTGAGTGGTATCCAGTCGTCTTCGTATGTTTTCAGCAGCCCAAAATTAAAGTGAGCATTTGACCTCTTCGTTACTCCATAGAGATCCTACTTATGGCACCTGCTGGCCTAAAGTTCATATTTCATTGTTAACTGTATTTATCAAAGCAAAAGAAAACTGAAACCCCCACTGTTGCTGAAATATATGGGGGTGGCTGTGGCTCAGGAGGTAGAGCGGGTCGTTTCCTAACCGGAGGATTAGCGGTTTGATTCCCGGCTTGTCCAGTCAACATGTCGAGGTGTCCTTGAGCAAGACACTGAACCCCCAGTTGTGTGAATGCGTGAGTGCTTGGGAGTGCGAATGGGTGAATGGCCGAATAATGTGTATGCGCTTTGAGTGTGATGTAAATCATAGAAAGGCGCTATACAAGTATAAGACCATTTACCATTTACCATATCCCTGTCTCTCCTCAGATCCTGGCAGCGCTGCCGTACGACTGGTCTGGAAGCCGCCTGCTCTTCTTCTCCTGCCTCAGGGTGGTCTTCATCCCCCTGTTCGTCATGTGTGTGTACCCGGCCGGTGCACCGACCCTGTCCCATCCCGCCTGGCCCTGCCTCTTCTCCCTCCTCATGGGAGTTACCAATGGCTACTTTGGATCCGTGCCGATGATCCAAGCTGCTGGCAAAGTGCCGCCGGAACAGAGGGAGCTGGCAGGTGAGTTATTCACCTCAGTGGGTAACTGTGTGTGGAGATATTATGTAATGGTTGGGGATGCTGATTTATTTGTGTTCTATCAGTCTGATTTCAAGGTGAAAACATCTCAAAATAGCACAATCTCTAAATAGATGTTAGTTGACAGAAAATTTGTCCGCCGCAATTTTGGTAATCAAGTAACTGTTCACAGTCAGTTTACACTCTATACGAGCTCTGTCTCTCTGCGTCTCCCTGCAGGAAACACCATGACAGTGTCCTATATGACAGGCTTGATGCTGGGCTCCGCTGTGGCCTACGCAGCCTACAGCTTCACAGCTCCAGCTGCAGGAGCAACAGGAGCACCCTTCTCCATGCCCAACATGCACACACCTGCCAATGCTACAGGTTACTGAATGTCCACACACACAATAACACACACGTGTACAAAGACATGAATGTAAAGATTCATAAATGCACACACACCCAAAGCCATTCACACAAGCAAAATCCTGGAAGGAGAAGTAGCCAGGTTAATGGACTCAAGTCCAGCTGCAGAGGATGAGCAAACATCTGGAAACAACCTTAAAGGTTTCTGATTATCCTCTGTCAGATTGTCCTTTGTCAAAGTTATGCTTCAGTTCTGCTCATTAATAAAAGAAGCTGGAAAAGGTAAAAAAAAAAAGTGAGGAAATCATGTGAAACTGTTTTTAAAAAGCGTGGCAGATTTCTCTACGCAGCTCTGCTGTGACAAACACTTCACTGGAGGTGAAGAGCAGGAGCCGTGCACCTGTTAGCCGACCGGCACAGGCCCTTTGAGTGTCTGACAGCGAAATTACCATCTGCATGTGTGTGCCAACACATCAGCTGACAATTGTGCAGTAAAACGTCAAGCGATATTCCACTGCAGGGAGCGAGACTTTGTGTCTTAGGTCACATATGTTACATTTCATGATTTTTCAGATCTGTTGTTGTCCAACACAGAGACCTGACGTCTGAGTGGATTTGGACCAGTTGTTTCAACAACTATGGCACTGTGTTTTACTTGCATTCCCAACACCCAAGGCTCATGGGTATTGTAGGATATCAATCCATCCAACATGCCAAAACACTAAACAAAACATTATGTCTCAAAAAAGTCTAAATTATTCAAATTGACATGACATAAACCTAACTCTCATTTGATAATAAAATAATTTAACACATTTGATGAATTTTTGTATGAATAATCAAAAACATCGTGAGGCCACTGTGACTTGATCGACACCCGGTGGCTAGTTGCAGTATGGGTCATAAACCCCGCCCCCTCCATGTTAGCAAATGGGACATGAGTCAGAATAGAACTCAGAGTACAAATCAAATAATTTTTTCCCAGAGGTGATTTCTGTCTGTTTCAAAGATATTATGCACTGAGGTGTGTACAACTGGTCATTTTTTTACCAGTTTATTTTTTAAATAAGTTATTTAATTATATAAAAAGTGGGTATTATTTCAGATGATTTGACAGCTTTGATTGGCGATCTGATATGTCACTCAACTACTCGGTCGCTACTGTGCAGAATCTGGTTACAAAATACCAAGACGCCAGCCGCCGTAATTACAATATTTTGGCTTCCTATTTGCAAAGTGGAGGAAAGTGGCAACACTTCGTCCATCTTCTACATAATGTCTATGATATCAGCTGTTAACGACGGATGTCTGAACCGACAACACTGCTTTAAAACTTGTAAAATATATTTTTCCTTTAATGGCATGGATGTGTGATGTAGGATACTGCAGAAACTTGACTTCCTTTGAATTGGTAAGTTTGAGTTCAGTGCTTCTTTATAGGCCAACAAACAAAACATTCTTCCAGTTCATCTGTTTTTAGCAGCAGATTTCTGTTTGTTCAGTGATGTTCTCATGATTCCTTGCACTGCCTCACAACTGAAAAAAAGAAACAATCTGTATGAATTTACCAGGTGAGGCAGGTGAGTTTTCCTGCCCCCTCCATGCTTGTGTCTGTGTTTAATGTCTGTGTACTGATGTGGAATATCATTAGGTAACAAACCGGTGCCAAATTTTTCCGCCGGTTTCTGACCGGTGGTAGTAGCTGAGAAGCGAGCGAATATAAACTTGTAAATATAGAGAATTAACTGCACTCAAGGCAGTGAAGAGCTTTTATTTTATCCATGTGAAAGGCTCTCGAAAGTATGAGATTCATATTTTTGGAACTTTATTTGGTGGAATGGATGCGGACAGCACCTGTTTCCCTTTAGTTTCTAACACAGATGCTGAGCCCACCCCAGCTTCTAACTCCCTCCACTGTTTACTTTTTTAGCGATAAGAGCTCAGCATTTATACATTATGAAGAAACAGGCCTCAGTGTAGAAAGGCATGAAGCACACCACATCATGTAGGTGACGGCTTGAACGCTGGCGCTGTTCGCAGCATTGTAGGGTCCCGTTCTGGAGCTGACCTCATTACTGTAGGCCCCACTGTGCTGATGGTGCCATACTGCCTGAGGCCTATGTGCTCTCACTGGGCTGCTGGGTTTTTAGTTATTTTTGGTCAGATGTGTCATTAAAGGATATGAAAAGTCTCTTTCTTTGACTTTCCTACTCTCTCTGGATGAAACTACAGGGTCATTTTGAGAGAAGTGAGATCCTACTTTCCAAAGTTCCCAAGTTACCTTCTCAGATTAGTTTAACATTCTGAGTAACATTTGCTTTCTTGTTCAGAGTCAGAAGAGAAGATATCCACGCTCCTGTGTGTATGATAAATATGAAGCTATTAGCCAGTTAGCCTAGCTTAGCATAAAGACTGGAAGCAGGTCGGCTGTAGATACAAACACAGAGATGATTCATCCACCTTGTATGTGTCTCTGTAGAAGGGTTCAGTTCAACCAGTAGTATAAAGTTAATAAAGTTGTATTAATAAATAAAATAAATGTTGATTTTTTTTTATTTTACTTTTACAATCATGATTTCAAATTAAAATGGAAATATGAAAAATAAGTAAATACATAACTGTGAAGCTTGAGAAAAAAATGTCTTAAACTTTTAAACTGAACCTTTGTTGTAAACAAAATGTTTTGCTATGAAAATCCGCATTCTTAATTTATTCAAGTAAATACATTTCTGGCATTTCTGGTTGTAAATTCAGTGAGTTAGGATGCCTTCAATTGTGGACAGATCTCTTGCCTTTATCCAGTTGTGCTACTTCCTCCTACCAACAGGGCGGCCACAGTGAACAGCTGTGGCTCGTGGGGTGTTACAAAGCACAGCACGCTTTAGCCATTTCCCTAAGCTAAGCTAACTGGTTGCTAGCCGTAGCTTATTATTTATCGTACACATATGAGAACGGTATCAATCTTCTCATCCAACTCTCAGCTAGAAAGTGAATAAACTTAACTCTCAAAAGTATTTCTTTAAAATACTGCGTCATTTTACTGTCTTCAAGACAGTCTTATAACACAACGAGTAATATATTCTGAAGATGTTCTTGAATTTGACCACAATCAAATTTTGATCCGTTTAAAACTGCCAATTTCACGTCTTATTAATGGCTCTGGATGTTTCCTTCCACTGTTCATGAATCATTTATCTTTTCTGAACATATCAGCTGGACACTGTTATCCAGGGCAACTTATGAGTTTAAGAGCAGAGTAAGCACCACTATATTACAGACCTGAGCAGAGCCACAATGCTCTCACAAAATCACTATGACAGAAGTGCGAGCGCATGCAACCAAAGGCGGACGTTAGACAGCAGGTAGAGAGAGTTGTAGAGCACACAGGAAAGATCTGGCTTCTGATGGAACACAGAGAGCGACTCTGCAGATTGGAGGTTATTTCCCCGCTGGGAAATGATGTTCGCAGTCCAGCTGCATGCAAACGCAGGCTTTAAAGAAATCTCTTAATTCTGCTTTTTATCTCATCGTCAAGGTCGGATGTTTGTCAGCTTGCCATGTGACTTCCTCTTTGTTGTTGTTTTTAAATCAGTCCCAGTGTGTGATAGCACTGACTATTTTAGACTGAACACTGTGAAATGCCAGGATGGTGTGAAAAGAACGAGACTTCATACAAATACTATGCTGTGTACTGTAGATCCACTGTAACAACAGATAGTCTGCAGATGATATCTGAGAGTCCAAATTAAGAATCAGGTGCAGTGAGTGAAATCTGGCCTTTGTGCTGGCACTATTACTACATGACGGTTGAGCGGCTGATCTGACTTTGACACAAAGTCCATATGAGTAACTGCAGAATTCAACAGACAGACTCAGTTTAGCTCATCGCCCTGACTCTTCTGACTGCGCCTGGTTTCTGGAAGGTAAATGTTAGATTCCAAAGCTCAGAGTGTGCAGAGGTAGCTGGTTTGAGTTAGGGTCACGTATCATAACTACACAACTGGTTAGGGTTCAATTCAGAGTTAAATAAGGGGGAACACATATCTATAGGGAATTAGACTTTACTTCCCCCAGAATCTACTCCTGAGTCTTGGTATCTAATGTAAACCCTCTCAGAAGTGGGAGGGAAATTATCCAATGAGGTGAACCAGCAATCAGCTTGGGTCACAGAGGAAACCTCTCATTCTCAATATCAAAAAAATCCAGAAGGTTGTTTAAAATCACTTCTTCTAACAATCAGCATGAAAAATATTTTTTGTCCTACAGGTTAAATATGATTTTTAACCATTCTCCCAAGTGGTGACTCTGTTTCTTGTCCAGGTAGTTGACAGGCTGCTGTCTTTGTTGTGGTTCAGAAACAGATTTGTAGCTTGTGTGAGTTAAAAATAGTTCTTTTTTTCCCCCCATTCACTGAACTCAGTTTTTTTCTTTGTGGATTCAGCTGATAACTTCAGAACATCATTATGTGTTTTTAAATAACCTTCTGGGTTTTTCTCAGTGAATCGAATGTATGCTAATACCTGAGGGGCACGAGCTGGGGCTAGACATGAGCCAGGGTCGAATGCACATAGTGGCAATTCAACTCTCGAGTTGAAAATATCAAATTATATGACTAATATCACCCTCCAAAACTTGTTAAATTGTGAGTAAAATTGCCAAATTCCTTGCAGTTCAGTTTTGTTTTATTGTAAATATGCTTTATTTCACTGGTGCTGTGCACACCAGACCTGCATTTTAGTGCATCAGTGGAGTGGATTTCAGTTACTGATTCTGGCTCCAACTGTCCCATCATTGTACAGTCAGCAGTGTGCAATAAAACTGTTGTTTACATCTCTGTCTGCTACCTCCATTTATGTGAGTTGCTGCTATTTCTATTTGACAAGTTTGATTTTATCTGCTATAAGTTTTGTCATGGGTCCTGAATATAACCACTGGAGTCTGTGAGCAGGTAGTGGCAGCTGACAAAACCAAGACAAATGTAAAGTGGTTTTTCATCCTCTGACCAGTGACAGCAAGACTGAATTCTTCCTGCAGGGACCAATACATGAAATAAAGTCTGTGCATGAAAGAAATCAGCATTAACTGCTACTCTCCAGCAGAGAGAGCTGCTGCTCAGAGAACAGCACCTAGGGCTGTGCGGTATGAGGACATTGGGTCCAAATGGATACTAGTGTGGAGACTGTATATCACGGATCAGAGCTTTTGTGTTTCTTCAGCTTGATATCTGTGTCAAAGAGCCCCAGACTGAAAGAAAGACGTTCTCCTGAAGGGAAATACTGGTGTTGACCTTCGACCTTTCTGCTGCGTGACAGTGTCTCTGCTCATGACACGCAACCATACAAATGCAGACATGATAAAGAATCATTCAGACATATTACATTTGCTACTGTTTCTAGTGTTTCTAGTGTTAGAGAGGTCCTGAGGTCACAGCAACGCCGCCCCTCTTGTCCCTCTGTGTGCATGTACCTACTGTATGAAGTGTCTGTAGGTTTGTATGAGTCTGTGCTCGTTCTGTCTCTGGCGTGTGACAGATCAACTGATCATTAGTCATTCTGTTCCACATACAGCAGACAGGGAGAGAGGATGAGTACGATGAAGGAAACAGGGGAAAGTTGAAAGACAGTGGAAGGGTAAACGTCTCCACTCTAAATGTGCCTGTGTTTGAATGGTGCTGCCTTTTAAAGGTCAGTATGTCCTCTTGAAATGGACTGTAAGGTCTCGGTATGAGTGCCATAAACAGATGATGATAGAACTCAGTAGAACTACAGTTACTGTTCTGTTTTTCTCCACAATTAACACCACGTCTCATAAACCCACTGTTTCCTGTCAGATTTAGCCAACAGCCTATCACTTGTGTAACATCTGTTTTTGCAAGAAACCTGCAAACGCCTGCTTCGTGTTTTGTGCCATAAATCAGGATCAGTAGCAATGCAGCACCAATCAGCTTGTTTGTTTGCATAAGCCATTTACTGATGTGAAAATGGAATTTTCACATCTATAAATACTACTTTTATTGTTTTCACTGCCTCTGTGGTGTAGAGTGAACCCTTAAGAAGGAAGTGCTAGAAAGAACTATGGGAAGACAAATATATACAAATAGTTATGCATTTGAAAATGACATGAACCAGCTGGATCTGCCAGCCATTCTCTTCTCTGCACTTCTTTGCTTGAGCTCTTTGAGGTCCTTTTTCCTCTTCAATACTAAATGTACTTTATTGGCATGACCATAATATGGTTTAGTACACGTAAAACAGGCTGTAATATGTTTAAGTTATTTGAAATGTAATACTGTAATTCAGAATCAACTCTACTATCCCAAAAAAGTGTTCTGAAGATTAAAGATAGAAACTTTAAGTCGTCTTGAAATGATCAGAACTTACATATGTACATCAAGTTACCAGAGTTAAGATTCCACTAGAGTCACATGTGATGTTTTACAGCACAGAGGACACTCCTGAGAGAAATGTTAGAGACTAACCCCCCCCCTGCCCCTTCCTCTGTGGGAATGATGTCCTAGCTCCTTCATTAGGAAGAGCTGGACATCTTGATTTGGACTCAGCTGTCTCGTATTCACCTCGTCCTCAGAGCTACATTCACCCTGTCAAAATACCCACAATGGCAGCTGTATGTGTGTGTGCGTGGGAGAGAGAGAGAGAGAGAGGGAGGGAGGGAGAGAGAGAACGAAAAGTAAACATGCCTGAAATACAAAGGCTGAGATGTTTCATTCATTATGTTGTCAGCATGAATAATAGAAAGCTAATTAACATGCAGTACATCACATACACACTTCCACGTGGGATCACACTCTGAACTAATATTTGCAAGGCTCGATTGTCATTTCACATTCAAATTTAGCACAAGAGGCAAAGGAACAAGGGACACAGTGAAGGGTGAGGAGAGAGAGCGATCAAAAGCCAGAGAAAACAAAGAAAACACACACAAGTTGTACATACACAAACATCCAGTCATACATGTACAACTACTGTTGTTCCTCTAACCTTAACAAAGGTAGTATTTAACCCAAACCATGACCTTTCTCTAACCCTAACCAAACTGTTACTGTTACATACATTTTATCATTCTATCATTATTGTACTGGACTATGTCATTGTTGCAACCGTGATAGTCAACGTCCATATGCCTGCTGCCATAATAGCACCACATGGGTTGTATCAGAAGACAAATACAAGAAACACCCAGATGGTGACATATGAAAGAAAACCATGACTAAAGGAGTGAAAATACAAACAGCAGGGTCACTGATTAATCTTCTGATTATTGTCTTGATTACCTGATTTATTTACAGAATGTCAAATGTCAGGGAAAGTGTCCATTTTGATTTTCCAGAGCCAACAATGGTGTCTTCAAATGTCTCACCATGTCCAACCATCAAAGTTGGTTTTATTTTTAATAGATTGACAAAACAGTCCAAAACCCATTTTCACTCTATCGCTGTGTAGTGTGCAGATCGATGATAAACAAATTAACTGAATCCATTTTGAGATTAGTCTAAAACACAGCAAAATGAAAAGGTCTGAAACCTTCCCATACTGTACAAGACAACACCAGGGGCTAGTGAATCCTGTCCTTGGTCTGCCAGCCCTTTTCCACCATCGCATGGATTCACTAAACCTAAGTCAAACCTTACCACTACAAACCTACTGTATATTAATTCACTTAATTTACACTTTATAAATCTTTCAAATAACACAAGGATCTCTCCCCAACTGTTCAGCACAACAGCAAACACTACAGTAACGCTGATCCAACAACACCACATGCATTGTAAACTGCACAAACAGTGTGGATCATCTCGCCAGAATAACAAGTATTACAATTAAACACTAACTTACCGAGGTGGACAGGTCATGTCTCTGTTTTGACAAGTCTCCAGGTCCACTTTGGCCCAGTAGGTACAAACAAAACAAAACGGATCTGGTCCAATATGTGTACAGGTGCTGAGGCACCACTCGTCGTCGTCGGTGGTCTGTTTTAAAACGCAGGTGACCGTCTTTGTAGAAGTACTTTGTAAATTGTTTGGAACTCAGTGTCCGGTAGCGTCAGTAGCTGCTTAGTCTTCACGGCTGCTTTCTTGGCTCATGGCACTCAAGTTAGGCACCATGCTAACATTAGCTGTAGCTGTCACAAAGTTGTGGAGCACCTGTAACGGAGGCGTAGGACGCGCTCGTGCCGCATTCTAATTTTGAGACTTTTGAAAAAGAAGAACACAGTTGACTTTAGCTTCTTTTTTTACGTTTAGCTACTCTTATTCTCGCTTCTTTGTCTTTTCGAAATGTTTGAGCATTCCTCTGGCGCGCCTTGCTTTCCGCCATGGTTGTAAACTTTTTTTTTTTTTTTTTTTTTTTTAACTCAGGGGGCCGCCAGGGCAGACAACACGTGACACCTCGCTGGCCAATCATTGTCAACACTTATCGGCAACCGCAACAAACTGACCAATCAAACAGCGTACATGATTAACTAAGAACCCGGGTTCAACCATCATGGACGAGGACTACATAAAGGGGAAAACCATCTCCATACGTAAAAAAAGATACTGTGAACAAAGACAAACTCAATTAAAGATTCTGGCTGTTAAATGACAATGGAGTGGGAATATGTATTTAAATCTACTATTCAGGAAACTTTTCATTTTGTTTTTATAGCAAAAAAAAAAAAAAACACAACTAAAAATTATAATTAAAAATAAAACCTCCCTTCCACAGCAGACTATTTTGAAGCGGATATCCTGATGTTTGATTGCATATGGAAGACACGCTGACAGAAAAGTTGGAAATAAAAACAAAAAAAAGCCCTTTTCTCTTTTCAGAAAATGGTGTGGAAGGACAAACAGAGCTGTGTTAGTCTGTGAGCAAACTCCAGTCTGAAGAACAAGCCTTTCAAACTGTTTGTGATCAGTGTTGAAGCTGCAACAAAGGCTCAGCCAATAGAATACTTCTGTTTGTGTAATGTTGACCAATAAGAGCCATGCATACAGACACACCCACAGAAGGCTGTGTAGGTTGCTACTGAGGTAGGTATCTGTCTGTGCTGGTGTATCCATGCATGTCAGATGAAGCTCTCAGCAGGTGCTGATGTTGGTCTTTTGGCGGTCAAACCATTGACTGCTGCTCTCACCCTGAAACAGGACCACACACTCAATTCATGCTAGCAAAGATTTAATTACACATGGACACACAGGGATCCATAAGACACACACACATCCTGGGCAGCTCTTTGAGGGCAGAGTCATGAACAGTCAGCAGTGGAGAATGTCTCCCTTGCCATCAGCTCTGCACATCAGCACAGAAGGCCAAACTTTCCTCCATTTTATTACAGCCAGAAGCTTCATTAGTGGGCTGCCAAAATGGAGGCCTGATGGAATGGTTGATTAAAGGGGCAGTCCACTCAAACTAAATCCAGGCACTAAAACAAAGAAAAAGAAGCATGAGAGGAACTAATGTGGATGAGTGAGCTGCTTCTTTTGGTGGCAGGAGGAGGAGGTGATGCTAAAGGTTCAACACTTTTGTAAACACAGTCACTGTTTTGTTGAGAATAAGATTAGAAGATTGATGCCACACTCATACAGGTACATGTAGTTTTAAGTTAGCTTAGCACACAGACTGGAAACAACTAGCTTTAACATATTATGGCTCATTTGTTTATTCTGTACAAAAACCAGTGGTGGAAGAAATACTCAGATTCTTTAGATTCTTAAATCCACAGTGTAAAAGTACTTAAAGAAAAAAGCTCAGAGAAATTAAAATGCTTGACTCTCACACCAGAGATGCAGAGAACACTGAGTGTACAGTTCCATCTGTTTATTGATTACCTATAAAATATTGAGTTACTAAAACAAATGAAAAGAAACACTGATAAACGTGGTTGCTGTCTGTAAAAAAAAAAAAAAAAAAAAAAGCTGCTTACACATACAGTACAGGGCGACAGAATTTCATCTCTAAAATGTCATCTTTTTGCATTTTTACAAGATTAGATGTGTACAAAGTATAATCTGACAGCTTTCTCCCCTCAGTCAGTGAAGGATCATTTACAAAACTTAGATGATTTTTCTATTTATTTTCAAAATAATTTTTTTTCTGTAACAGGACAATAACAATATTGAAGGAACAGCAGACGAAGAACCAGCCTCCAGTCCACCTCTCTCTCTCTCTCTCTCTCTCTCCCATTCTCTCTTATACTCTCTCTTCCATTCCTCTCTCTCTCTAGCAGCTAGCTCCCAGTGCCTGTCAGCAGTATCGCTTGAGAGGCGTGGACGATTGTTCAGAGAGGGGAAGCAAAGGAGGAGAAAAAGACAAGAAACATGCCAAAAAAAAAAAGAGCTGAAAAAGATAAACACGGCAAAAATGAAACATTTTACAGACAAGTAAAACATAAATGGTAATAAAAAGCAAACATACAAACGCAGGCTGTTAAAACACGACACCAAATGAAAATGAAGGCGAAGGGGGGAGTTGGTGTGTTTGTGTTGGACCCTGTTTGAAGGCCTAAGGCTGGGCTTAGGGGGCAAATAGAGATCGGAAGGCAATAACACACACCTCAAAGGGTTACAAATGTGTGTAAGTATGTGTGTGCATGTGTGTGTAATAATAACGGATAAGGGTGTCTCATCAGGTTCACTTCCTTTACCCACCCAAACACACACAGAGAAAAAAAGTGCTTCAGCAGCTCCAGGGGTAAACAAACATTCATAATGGGGCACTTTGTTCACAACACTGGCACGACCTGTGTCTCCATTACACTCCCACAGCTGAGACACCAGAGGTTCATTTGACCAACTGTCACTCAGAACTTGTACACTTTTGTCTGCAGACATGTGAACTTCAGGCAGGACTCTTCATCGGGTTTCAGCCTGAAAGGAGCTGACAAACGAGCAAGTGGGCGCTTCTGGCATCAACTAATCGAGTAAATCCAGCAAACACAGAGTCCCTCTGTACCTGGTTAACACCGTTTCAATACTAACAAACTAGCAGCACATTACTCTCCTTTCCTAGGTGGCTAACATGTCTGGATTGTATACAAACGTGCACAGACACACTAGCAGACGTCTTTTGTAGTTCATAGGGAAAATGTCACATCAACAAAATTAACACATTGGACCGCCCGCCAGATGTGGCGCAGCCATCTCAGCATGAGCACAAATACAATATAGACTCTAATAAAATCAGACAAACACAAAAGACCTCAAGAGTAGAAAATATTAAAACTATTGAATATCAACAAGATGATCTTGAATCTCTGCAGGAAAACAGAGACAGGGAAACATGGTAAGAAACAAGAAAAACAACAATATTCACAGATATATACAGTATCCTGTGCACTGCATATCGCCTAGATACTGATATATCTGACACACACTCTCCACACAAAAGCCTAACGACAGTATGTGGGTTAAAAGCTCAGGAACGGAGGGTTGTTGAAACTATAATCACAGAAGAAAGGTGTTTTCTGATGTCAGCAGACCGGAAGTAGCCATGTGATTACTCCTCAGCACCTTCAGGAGCTGAGGATGATGGTAAGAGCATCTGGGAGAGATCTGGCGAATCATCATCATCATCATCATCATCATAAGGCCGCTCAAGATGCTCACAAGTCCGCGCACAACATTCAAAAAGTCTCATGCTAAAAACGGTTCGACTAGGCACATAGAGCAAATTCATAAGCAGCTAAAAGCGCCGCAAAGGGACGTGGACGTGTGTGTTTGTATCTAAAAAGCTGGGAGGAGTTTCACCAGTAGGCAGAGGAGAGCGGTAGTAAATACTCTAGGAAGGCCCACGAATCCCAGTCAAGGTCTCCTCTGCAGCGGAGTTCATTCAAAGTGCACTCATGTCAATGATGATTGCTTGGGGGTGAAATGTGATCATAAGCAGGTGAGATCCATAAAACAGCAGAAGCAAAAGAAAGAAAACACAAGTGACATGGGACATTTAGAGGCTTCAAAATACTGCAGCTGACATATGAAGCCAAACGGTGGAAGATGAGTGTTAAAGTTTGATTATGTCAATCTAATCAGTGCTGGCAGCTTCACACTCTTATCAGTGTCATGACCCTGATGCCTCTTGGACTGACTGCAATGTTTCCAACTCTGAACACACCTGACGAGGAAACATCCACCCTCTGGGACTACTACACCTGTCTCGTTCACTGCACTTATCAAGCACGTGTTGCAGTTTAGTTCATAGTTTTCCCCAGAATGCTTTGCAACACTCCAGACAGGCTGCGGAGACACTGGAGCCCCCTCTAGGATCCATTTCTCTTTGTACTGTTGTTCCGCCTCAGTGCAAAGTGAGCAAACAACAAGAAACATCAGCAGCAGCTGTTGTAGTTCCATAGTGTTTAAATGTTTCAGGGTGGGTTTTTCCTTCAGCATAAGAAACTCAAAGGTGAAAATGGGAAGTGCTTTGAATAGTACGAGATTACTTCCTCTCTTTTTAGCCTGAGTCTCTGAGGGAGTCAGAAGCTTTAGTGGCACACAGACAGTTTGCCTGCCTGAGTTAGGATTGTCAAAGGGAATTGAAAGGGTTAAATGAAAGGAGGACAGAGCTGAAGTGTTAAGTGCTCTCTGTTGGACAGCCTCCACCTCTCGTTCCCTCTCTGCATCTGTCTGTCGCTCCTGCTGTTCTGTAGATACATTTATATGACTGTAACATGACCGTAACATCACCACAGCAACATCATAATCACAACGTCACACCACCAGCGTGTGTGTCTGTCCGTGTGGGGCGTGGGAGGGCGGATGGACAGACACCGGCCTCCCTTCTTTATCCTCATTCACAGTTCATTAAAGCTTCTCAACTGATTACCTCTTTAGAAAAAAGTACTCTGACATAAATCTATTACATGAAAATAAAACACTCATATTTTCCTCTATATTACTGTGTTACACAGCTTAGTATTTACAAGTGTTTGTGCATGTGTAAGTGTAAATGTGTGTCTTCGTGCAGAGTATATTTACATCTAAAAGGAGACTGAAGTGCCCGTATGTGTTCTGAAAAATTCTCATGATCACACCGAGCAGAACAACATGTGTTAATGGAGGCTGTGTGTGCAAATGTTTCAGGAGACAAGTTCCTTTTAATACTGTCTCTAGTGTCTCCTTTCTCTGTAGTAGTAGTATCTGTTCATGACGGTCTGTCTGAAGTTTATTACGGTGTCATCGAGTCAGTCATGAGTCGTGAAAAGCCCACAGGTCGGGTTCGACTCCCAGTGGCGTCCAAACTTGGTGAGTTGGGTCACGATTTGGTTTCTCGTAGAGGCTTTGTATTTAGCAGACTACTGGAACGCCATCAGTGTTGAAGATCATGCCGGTGGTGGGTTCGTAAGTACCGGCCAGGTAGTAGAGGTCTTCGCTGTCGGCGTAGCGGCGCGTGTGGGTCATCTGTTCGTACTCCTCCACGCTCACCACCAGGCACTTGTGGCTGACCGTCTGCACGTCGTTCTCATCGCTGTGAGACGACTGGTACAGGGCGCGCTGCAGCACAGACACACACACACTTTGGATGAAGCAGCGTGCAGCTGAGTTTCTACTCTACCAGACAGTTGACTGCGTTCACCTGATGTGAGTGGAGCCCCAACACTGACAAGTCGAAAACATACCTGAATACCTCAACCAATAATACTTTCAGTTAAATAAGTCAAATGGACAGGAAACTAAATATAAACTTCATATTTTTCCTCCCTTCAGCTGTTAAACAAGCAAAAAGCTGCTAAAAGTCTCTCAAACACACAAAGAAGAGCAAAAATAACATGTTTTAATTCATTTTATCAATTGATTGTGGGTAACTTTTGTTAAAAAAGCTAAATTTGATTTCTTTTTTCATTTCATTTGACTGATTTTACTATTATATTTTGGTACATTCACCTATATTTTTGGCTCGTCTAGTTTACCACTGCTGTTCCTGGGCTCTAGATAAGCTCTGCATATTCTAACTCTATGGTCAGAATAAAATGCACCAGGTTATTGAAAAGGCTAAATAAGTTTCTCACCTCCATGAAGTCTTTCCTCTGGATAGACGAGTGCAGAGCTGCTGGTAACGACTGGCCGCAAATCTGATCCCAGTTCTGGAAACAAGGTTGACGTACAGGGAAAAATACATTTTGTCTGATAATGGCTATGGATGAATCAGGAAACAATATCCAAAAGTATTCAGATCGTTTTCTGAATTTTTCTGACGAGTGTCATTATAATCTCAATGAGAAATAAAAAGAGATCAATAACTGCTAAGACAGTCTGACTCTTATTTGACCAACAGTAAAAAATCCCACCTTCTTGTCTGTGAGTTTCTTGCCAGGGTTCGTCTCCTCTGGATGGTAGAACCAGTTGACCCTGACCACCATGTTGCTGCCCCAGGACTCCCACATGCTCTGGATGCGGCCGATGAAGGGCAGGTTGGGCCGACCGGCCGACAGGAACACAGCACAGTCACCGATGCGAATCATTTCTCGGCCACGCACAATGGCCTTATAGAAGAGCTTCTTAGCTTTGCCTTTCATGCCGCGTCTCTGGAGGGGGTCAGAAGAGGACAAACTGATCACTGCGTGAAAGGAAGAATATCTGGACCAAGTCAGAGGATGGTTCTTAAAAAGAACAAGCATGAATGAGTGACTTCTCCTCTCACCTGAGTGGGTTTCCCAAACCATTTCCAGAGTTGTCTCGCTGGGAGAAAAGCAGAAATCTTGGGCCTATTCTCCACACTGGGAAGCCTCTGACGTTTGGCCAGCTCCTTGGTGGTGGGGAGGTGGACCCCCTCTCTCCGCTTCGGCCTCCCCACCTTCCCCTCTCCTCCGCTGGGCTTTGGTTTCGGAGGGCGGCCCCTTTGCCCGGAGCCCTTCCCAGTGGCTGGTTTAACAGGCTTAGCCGGAGCAACGGCAGCAGCATTCGGAGAGGCTGAAGGGGCAGGAGACTGTGAGGGAGGAGGCAGGTCTTCCTCCTCCAGTTTCACCTCCATCTCCTGCTTTACCTCTTCTTCTTCTTCTTTTGTCTCTTCTTTCGGTTTGTCCTGCACTAGAGGTGAGGAGACGGGGCCTGGTGGGGGAGTGGGGGTCCTCTCTTCATCTGAGCTGCAGGAGGAGTCATCAGTAGAGGAAGAGGAAGATGAGGACGACGACGATGAAGACGAGGAGGAGGAACCAGAGCAGGAGGAAGAGCAGCTTGAAGTGCATTTCTTCTTTTTCTTATTCTTTTCTTTCTCCTCTTCTTCCTCCGACTCAGAGCTGCTGCTACTCTGAGATTCCTCTTTCATTTTCCTCTCCTCCCTTTTCTCCACCTCCTTTCTTTCATCTTTTTTATGCTTCTCCTCTCTTGTGTCCACCTCCTGTCCTCTACCAACACTTCCGCGATTGTCGGCCTTATCCTTAGGCAGCACAGGTGCTTTATAGGTGGAGTCTTTCTCCAGTGGGCCTTCGTCTATGTTAGGAGCTCTCACTTTAGGCTTTAGCGGTTTCTGATTGGCCGAGGCTGCAGTGATCGAGGTGTGATCTCGTCGGATGCCCCGACCCTCTAGCAACATCAGAGCCTTGGTCTTCTTGGTCTTGGGAGAGGTGACGCCTTCATGGTCGAGCTTCACGAGTGGTTCTGCAGTCAGAGGCTTGTGCCTCACGACCGAGCCCACATCACTTTGGCTGGGCTTGGGTCTGGAGCTGGGCCTAGAGCTGGAGGATAGCTGGTCAGATGGCATCTTCAGTTTAGGCCGGGGGCCGGATGATGATGATGACAGTGGAGATGATGAAGGCGTGAGAGCCAGAGAAGAGACGGATTTGCCTGTTGACAGCCTGGAGATAGGGCTGGGTACGAGTCCAAAGCTGAGGCTGGACCTGGAGCCGCTGTGATGGTCCGAAGAGGGTTTGGCTTTGGGTGTGGAGGCAGAAGTGGGTCTGGGCATGGACGAAGCGCTGGGCTTCGGCACAGTAGCTGCCATACTGGGTCTAGACATGGGCCTGTTGGTGGTGGGGCTGACGCCGCTGGTGCTATCTCTCTCTCTGCGCTGGCTGCTGTATAAACTGAGGTTGGGCTCGCTGTATAGATCCACGGTCAGGACCTTTCCATAGGTGGAGGGGTAAAGGGAAAGGGGGGGAGCATGGGCCGGTTTAGCAGCAGCAAGCTGGGTGGAGCTACTCTTCCTGGGCACAGGGTTGGGAAGGGTAGGGCTACCCGCGGGTGACGTGGTGGAGCTCTTGCGGCCAGGTTTTGCTTGGGTTCCCATTGTTGGCCGTGATGCTGGCCTGGGCTTCTCCTGAGCTGCCTTCTGCACAGAGGAGGTCCTGTCCTGGGCAGGCTTGGCTGGTCTCTCTGTGGGCTGGGTGGAGGAAGGCGGAGGATCGGCCTTCTCTCGGCCATCTGGGTTCATGGACGTCTCTGGAAATAAAAATGAAGAACAAAAATCAGCTCAGCTTTCTTTTTTTGATCACATGACACTGGAGACGCTGATGTTTTCGTTGTGTGGTTTCATGATTTTTATGGTCTGCAGCCTGCCTTGCTGAAAACAGTTGACAAATCAGCAAGAAAACAAGTCTGAAACCAAAACACTGCATTTAAGAAGTGCTTACCCAGCTGAAACGCAGCCAGCGTCAGCATGTCAGACCTGCAACGTGCCATGTATTACAGCAGCAGTAACAGACTAACGGGATTTTATGGAAGAAGAAGAAGCTTTGTGAGCAAACAAATCAGTGATGACAGCAATGTTCAAATATTAGATGTCTGATGAAAGACGTTCCCGAGCTTTGGGCTATTTTTGTTTCCTCTTCTGTTTTAAAATGACTCATCAGAAGACAAACATGACAGAAGGATTTCTGATTTCAATCCTTTTTGATACAACATGTTAAAATGAGAACAGCAACAAATTGCATGGAACTTATTTTTATTATTATTCAGAATAATGAAACAGATTTGCTTCTGCTTTAAAAGAAAATTAGTGCACTCAGAGAAGGAACACAGTGCACGTCCATGATGTCCTTCACTGGTCCCATGGAACAATTCAAAGACAAAGGAAAGTTAAAGTGATGGCAGTACTTAGTGCACTACTTTTATTTTAATAAGCACCTCCTCCATTTGTTTTTTACCTCCTGAGGGAAACATCTTTTCTTTCTTTAATAAATTGAACAGATTTGACACTTTTGATCAGTCATTTCTGTGAAACCACTAATACGTTAGAGTCAGGTTGACTCAGGGAACATTATCTATGCTGTCAAGCCCTGGAGAAGAGACGGTCTGATCAGCTCACCTGGTTTGGATTTGGGTTTGCGACCAGGTTTTCCTTTAATCCTTGGGGCCGTCTCCTCTGGCTTGGTTCCCGCCTCTTTGCCCTCTTTACTGCATTTGCGGACTCTCCTCTTGGAGGAGCTGGCCACGAGCAGCGCAGGGGACGGCTCGGCGCCTGGAGAGAGGCACAGAGTCGACACGCCTTATGCTTTAACCCACAGGCTTCTCTTTCAGCGACTACATGACATTTCAGCTTAGATTCTTAACAAGAATACACATCTGAATAAAGGAATGCTGCTGTCTGTTTCATTGTGTTTTAACCTCGCCCCTGAGCCAAGATGATCTGCTGTTTAGACACCGTTATGTCTTTTTGAATGTGTGAATGCTGCAGTGTTTATTTCCTCATTAATGTTGGCGGCACCTTTGCTTGCACCAGCTCCTGATGTAACAAGATGCACTGAGCTCGGTGTTCTATAAATAATTTCTCACAGTGCTTCAATGTTGTTTGCTTCTTCTGGAAGCTCCATTTTCCCTCCACTGTATTTGATTTGGACATTGACGGAGCCTAGAAAGAGGCTTTAGGAACAATGCTCTGTACCAAGTTGTCAGTTTGTTCGGTACACCTAGTTCAAACTGAGTCAGACTCATCAGAGCTTCAGAGCTAAATCCTTCTTTGTGAAGACGATAATGCTTATTTTATGTTCAAACTGTCACAGCGAAGTGCTGATTCCACTGTGTCAGAGTGCAGTTTATGCTGCTGTTGGACTGCACTGTTATACAGAGAGCCTCAACAATACAAATGGACACACCTGTCAGCACAATGCAGTAACACTAACTACCGAAATGATCACACAGGTGAATCAACACATCTCAGAAACAGCGTGAACACAAACGGAACATTATCACAGCACTCAACGAACAGGAACAGCTGAAGTTAGCAGCTCTCTGCTGCACACGCACATGCAAATGCAGAGATGCATGATCATAGCAACGCAACCGTGCACACACACACACACACACACAGTAGATATAACTTGTTTCAAACACAGCGGTGGTAGTACAGTGAAACTGAAATCTGCATGTGAAAGTGAGAAAAAGTGTGTGTGTGTGTGTGTTCGCCCCTTTCTCGCTCCGTTTCAACTGAAAACTGAAAGTGGCAGCAAGAAAAAAATCTAGTGAGATCATGATTGACTGAGGTGCTGTGTTTGTGTGTGTGTGTGTGTGTGTGTATACTTATTATCACACTACAGGGACCACAACCTGTTTACACACTTAGTTTGGTGTAATCAGTCATAAATCATTGATTTTTAGGGCGATGACTTAAGTTTAAAGGAAGGATAAGGGTTAGACAGGCAGTGCTTATGGTTGAGATTTGTCTCTAGGAAGTGACTGTACATAATTGTAAAGTCTCTGTGTGTGTGTGTGTGTGTGTGTGTGTGTGTGTGTGCTCACAGTGGATCTTGTAATCTGGCGGCAGCAGTCTGATGTGGGAGAGGGGGATGCGGCCTGTGTCGCCATCGTCAAACTCCACCGTGATGAGATCATCATTCTCGTCGATATCTGAGCTTCCTGTTTGTGAAAGGTCACAAGTCAGCAGTGACTCTTTTATCTGGACACATTCAAGCAAACAGAACAAGTTTTGTAACATACAGGGACGAGATGTGAACTCTGTGGAATGACCTGGAGTTCTACACGAACTGGTCAGAAAATGTGATCTGATCTTTATACAAGTCACAAGTACAAAGAAACAATTTCTATTTTTAAACACATGCCAGTACAGTAACCCCAAAGGTCTCACTCTTACTTCACTGTATGAGCACACTGAGCTGAAAGTGACAATAAGAAGTGAAACCAGGTCAAATACATTTTCATAACCATCTGACTCATCCAAAAAAAAAAACAATCACACTGCATTTACACTGAAGGAGCAGCTCCCTTGAGATCTTGCTACAATTAAAGTGTCATGTAGGTGGCAGGCGTGTGTTTCGCTGCTGTCGTCGTACCGTTAACAACAGTGCCGGGGTACAGGCAGCGGTACTGCTGGCTCCAGTAGGCAGCGATGCGGGTGCCCTCTGGGAGACAGCGCACGGACGGAGGCTTCACATCGATGATCTGCATGTACACATTTAAGAACTCTTAAGGTATACACCAACTTCTCACACACATTATTTCACACTTCTAGCTCCTTACATCTCATGCGTCTGTTTTAGATTCATCCGGTTCTTCTATCTGAAGGCCCCAAGAAGTAACACTCAGGAATCAAGAATCAGCTTTACGTAGATTTATTTTCTTCTGGTTAAATGCAGAGTTATTACAGCACTGGGCTCTGAGAGATGACAAGTCTCCAAGAGCCTTGATAATAGGAAGTAATTCACATTTATCTTCTCGGGCTGGGACTGCCCTGTACATGGGTGGAACTCATATTATCTTTTAATCTGTTGACTCAAGGTTCATACAAGGTTCATACAAATACTCTAGAATGTTCGAATAAGCAGTGTGTGTGTTGTTATTATCAGGCGTTTCTTTCTAACTGAAAGTAGACATGTGGTTAGCATCTTATCTACAGTTTTCCGAATGACAATTATTCACCAAGAAGACGAGAAATACTACTAGTTGACTCAAATCTGAATATTATGACTATGATGCATGCATAAGAGCTGGTTAATACTGATACATGGAGCTGTTAATGAAACACAGTCAAATAGTCATACTGAACTTGTCCATTATAAAAGCAGGATAATACTGATAAGTAGAAAAATAACTTTAACTCCTGAAATCCAATCCTAACTTCTGCAGAAAAAGAGCGAGATGTGGAGCATTTAGTAAAACATCCAGTTGACTCACAGCTTCCTGCAGCAGTTGTTCCAGGCAGTAGATGTGTGGTCGGTTCCCTCTCTCCCCCTCCACCACCACGCTGTATCTGCAGCGGGGAATCATGGGGGTTAGAAGTGTGGGGTCAGTGTGTGCTGCAAGGCCCAGGGGTCAGTGTGTGCTGCAAGGCCCAGTGCCTTTTACAACACTGACACTTTCCAGAGTCAGGTCAGGATTCTGAGGAGTGTAAATCATCTGCCAGACAGCAACGAGCCCTTATCTTGACGTGTAGCGGCTGGGGGCTGTTATTACCTTAATTCTGGCTACAATGTTGTCTGGCATTGAGCAGAGCTAATACCCACACCCCCTGGAATATTAATCCTGTCTGGACAGGACCTGAGTCTGTTTGTCATCTTTTAATTAAGCCACTCTGGATTTGAGCATCAGCTAAATGGCCTAAATTAGGTCCAAGTGTAATGAATGAGCTTTTCAGGTTTGTGTGTTAGCAAGTTTGTTTATGTTAAAGGTGTAGTTTCACTTTTTGGAAAATAAGATGATTTGCTTTCTTGCTACAAGTTAGATAATAAAATCAACACAACTCTCATGTCTGTCTGTTGAACCTGATGCTACAACCTGCAGCTTAACTTAGCACAAACGGTGGAAACATGGAGAAACGGCTAGCTGCATCTACCACAGCTTTAAGTAAATGTCACTGACGACCAAAACTGACTTCCACTTATGGCCTCCAATACTGTAATGGTGGTAATTTCGGATGATCTCGTTCCATTAGTACACTTTCAGGGCTTATAGGAGGTTTTGATGTCAGCCCCGTGGTCGCTGATTGGCGCTGTGGGCCGCCTGGTTTAGCTACGTTAGCTAATGTTAGCATTAAGCTGATGTTTAAAGTACATTTGCAGCAGCCTCCTATCTAGATGTCTCATTCCATCTGTGGTGCACAGGAGGCAGTTTTAGTGGTTTATACATGAGGTGAAGTTGACATTAGTGTATTCAAACTCAACTTTGTGTCACACTTGGCAGTGTGTACTATATCATTTTGCAGTTTGGTGGGCACCAGGAAGGAAGTGTGGCTGTGTGTTCAGTAAAGGCAACACGCCAAAATCCAAACAGAAAAGATGGCGCCGACTGTAAACACCTCACTGTGTTCACTTTATAAACTGTCTGTGGTTCAAAATGCACCTCTAAAGCACACTAACACATTTCCTTTGTTTAATCATGAAGCTACAAAAAAAGTGTAAAAGCAACAACTGAGTTAGGCTGGATTCACACACCCAGCATGAAAAAATGCAGCCCTTCTCATTGGTTTGAATCATGGAAGTGCAAGCTGCTTCCCCCTGATTCTATTCTTTAGCACTACAGAGAGTGTCCATGCAGGAATAAATCCTGCAGTGATCAGTTAAAATCCTTGCTTCTGTGTTATACACTTTAAAAATCTGCAGAGTTTTGTATCAGGTCCCTGTGGTTTGTACCTGCACATGTGCAGCTGCATCAGGTACTTATCAAATCAAGGACAGCAGATTTCAGAAAGGAACAAAGTGGAGCACACTGACTGATTTGCGGCTTTTAATAGTGCAAACAGATGTGTGTGTGTTTCCACTGCTAAAGGGCACAAATCACTCACTGCGCTGTGTTTAAAGTTTAAATGTCTCCTGGTGTGTACTCACATGTCAGGGGAGTGTACAGTGTTCACGTGTCCTGCGTACAGTAGCTGGTCGTCCATCGGGATCAAAACTCTGAGCCCGTCCACCAGAGAATCTTTGTCCAACACACACTGCACGGCAGCTGAAAGCAGCAGCAAATGAAAGCAATAAATATCTAGTGCATGTGATTATTCAGTGTGCGTGTGTTGCTAGACAGCATCTGCATGAACCTACCAGGTGTGGAGGACCTCTCTGATATGCTGTTGTTGCGTGGTGGGAGCGGTTCGTCTTCACTGAAGCTGCTGTCCTGGTTGGGCTCGAAGTCTTCGTCTGCCGCCATGCTCTCCATGAGCCGGCTCACCGCGCCCCGGGACGGCTGCACAAACACATGGAAGGGCTTTCACTTCACAGAACTAATTATCCATACCAGGGGGAAAAAGTCGGCTGCTTGACATTTATATTCCAAAAGATGACTGCGCCACTGTGATGTCGATCACAAATAAGGCGATACTACTACTTCAGACTCTTCACCCACACACCACACATTAACTTTTCAAAGCGGAACATATTACAACACGTATGCTGTTGAATCCACGGTGTTTTCTGCCGATATACACATCTTATACGACACCACAAAGAGCCCTGCACACACTTCTGCCTGCTTTAGTGTTTCCAAAACAAACTGGTGTTCTGGCTGGTGGCAGATGGAAAGCAATGCAACACTTTGGCAGAAATCACACCACACAAGAGGTTTACTTTTTTCTCTCTCAGTAACAGAACCAAACTGTGCTAATTACAAAACAAACAATCAGCTCATTACTGATACTTACTGTTTCTGTGTTTAGATGAAAGTAGGCGTGTGCACATTTAACAGCTAAAATGTTCTGGTTTTGTCTTAATGATCTAATCTATAAAGACTCTGCAGCTGATCCATCATCTCACTGACCTCTCTGGCCTTGGTCTTGGCTTTCGTTTGGCTTTTGCGCGCTGGGCTGAGGCTCAGAGCCACAGGGCTGTCTGTGATTGGACTGCACAGAGTGGACGGGCTCACAGGCAGAGGAGAGTCCTTCAGCTTCTTTTTCTGGTTTCCAAAAGTCACAACACAGAATTAAACATGCATACGAGTGAATGACAGCACTATATCTTTGCAGGCACGGGCACACACACACACACACACACACACACACACAACACACGCACACACACACACACAGACAGAGGGTGGGATGCTGCCAGGCTGCCTGCAGTTGTCCTTTCTTGTCAGCAGCATGACTCAGTCAGCAGGGGCGAGCTGCAGCGACTGAAGCACTGGGAAGCCCTGCTGGCACTCACACACTCAGACAAGTGGAGGAAGACAAAAGGATGTGAGATAATCGAAGTTTGGAGGACAAGAGAGTAAAACAGAAGCTTCAGTATCTTTGGTTTTTGTCATTGAAGTCGATGAATAACAGACAAATTGTTGTCGTACCTTGACCACATCTTTCCCCTCTCTGCTGGGTGGAGTGGGTTTGGGTCTGGATGCGGGCTTCAGGGTGAGAGGTGGCGCCGAGCTGGAGGAGGAGCTCTGACTGATGGAAGCAGGCTTTGACACAGACATCTGATTGGCTGAAGTGCTGGCATCATGGAGGAAAATTCTCTCACTACGTCTGCGGTTCCAGCCCTCGTCCTCGCTGAAGCCTCCGAACCCAGAGCCGGTGGCGAGGTCGAAGCTGAATTGCCGTGGCGACCGAGGAGAGCTGCGCGGTTTGGGTAGAGGCTTGCGTTTGACAGGCAGAGCTTCATCCCGCTTGGTGGGGCTGGTTTGGTCGACGCGGCGCGTTGCCGGTGGCAAGAGAGGGAGCTCTGGGGCGGAGCGTTTACCATGCAGCAGAGACGGGAACTTCCTCAGCTTCAAGTCCGAGCCAGAGTCTGACCACTCACACTCTGACGAACCTGACGGAGGACAGAAGAGGGTCACATGGTGTAAAAACTCTTCATACCCCTCACACACTCACAGATCCTGCAGATAATACCTGACTGAGCTCGTAAACATGCAGCCATTTGTAAACCGAGCCGTTAGATTCTCTGAAATCAATAACCACATCAAAAGGACTATTGATCCATTTGAAACTAATTCATAATTTAATAACGAATCATTACAGGCACCCTGATGACAACTGGAAATGACCAAATATTTAACCATGAATCAATAAAATAATCCTGCAGTGAACATGTGACCTGAGCTTCTGCAGTGAACTCTTTTAAACATAATAATAATGACAGATCACATTTGTGTGCATTGTGTTTTACCCAGAGTGCTCAGCCTGCTGCGGTGTTTGCCGTCATGAAGGAGGCTCAAAGGGGCCGGGCTGACAGGGAGCGCGCTCGCTGCAAACCTGGCCAGCAGACCCAGTCCGCTCTCTTCACAGCCGCCGTCATCTGAATCAGACTCTTCCTCGTTGTCGTCATCATCCTCAGAGGTTTCTGTTTCAGAGAAAAGAGTTTCAGCTCAGAAATGACTGCGACTGCAGCGTGTTCCTGGTCAAAATTCAAGTCACTTCCTACCGTCTCTACTGATTGTGGAGGCAGAGTGAACCACGGAGAAGACAAATCAGCAAAACAAACGAGATACAACTTTGTTGAAAGACAGTGAAAGGATACAGCAGCCTGGACCTTACAGTAACAAACCTAGTCTACACTAATATCCAGATGCACACACTGCATCATACATCTTAACATGTAGGTTGTTCAGAAATAACTGTGCTAGAAGACAAGAGTATCCAAGCCACTGCAGCCTGCGTTCACACTGTAGTGCTGTGTAAGCAAGAGACAGCAGGAAAAACAGCAATTTATCACATGCATGTGACAAACACTGACAGCTGCTGAGACTCCGACACAGACATTATTTGTTATTCAAAGACTGCAAAGAAAGTGCACTGCACTTCTTCACGGAGCCAGTGGAGCACACACACACATATACAGCAGCTTCAGGAAGTATTCAGACCCATTCATTTTTGTCTACACTAGTGACACTGCAATGACTACGTGTAAACAATCATTTCCAAAAGCATGCAGTGCCTTTGCTGTGGCTCTAAACTATGATCAGGTGCATCCTGTTTGAGATGTGTCGAGACCCTGACTGGACTCCACCTGTGGCAAACTGAGCTGACTGGACAGTGTAGAAAGACACACACCTGTGTATATAAGGTCTCACAGTTCACACTGCAGGTCAGGACACAAACTAAGACAAAGTCCAGGAGCTCTCTGTAGACCTCTGTGATTGAACTGTGGTGAGTACAGATCAGGACCAGGGGAGAAAAACATGTCTAAAGCTCTGCGTTTCCAGGAGCACGGTGGCCTGAGTAACTGGGACACGGAAGAAGCCTGGAATCAGCAGGAGGCGTCCTGGAGTCGGCGTCCGACTGGACTGAGTGGCAAGAAGGGCCTCGGTCAGGGAGCAGACTGAGAACCCAGTAGTCCCTCTGACTGAACTTCAGAGGCCCTCTGCGGAGACGGAGAAGCTGCCGGAGGACGAGCTTCTCAGCAGCTTCTCCATCGAGTGGCTTCACAGAAACCACTGATCTGAGAGCAGGAGGACAAAGACTTTCTGGTCTGAGGAGACAGAACCTGAACTCCAGCACATCACCTGTCAACACCATCCCTACAGTGGAGCATGGTGGAGACAGCATCCTGCTGTGGGCGGGCTTCTCAGCAGCTGGGACAGGGAGATTGGTCAGAACTGAGGGAAGGACGAATGCAGCCAGACCTGGACTTGTGGACACTTTTCCAAGAAGACTGAAGCTGTAATTGCTGGCGAATGGGCTTCAAAACTGAAAGTGTCCAAAGAGACTTCCATTTTGAATAATTTCTAAAAACATGTTTCTGTGTCACTTGGTCATAACGAGTTAATGAATGTAAACCCATGGACAGAACGGCAACTTGATCCATCTAAAACAAAACCTACAATGTAAAGTTTGCAGCAAGTGAAGGGGTCTGAGTACTTCCTGAAGCGACCGTCTATGTCTATACACTGTCGCATGCCGCTGGTCGAGTACTTCCTGAAGCGACTGTCTATACACTGTCGCATGCCGCTGGTTAGCTGTGTGCTGGCAGTTAGCAGTCAGGTCCATAGCAACAGGTGGACAGGAAGAGGGACTCCTCAGGGGTTAGAGCGTGGATGCACAGTACAAGATCTATTGAACAACAGCAGACACCAGAGCTTTGTGATGTGGTTTTTCTCACTGATGTTGAAGAACAAAAGAATAACAAGTGACAAAGATTAGTGTTTGGTTTCAAGCTTATGTTTGAGCCAACAGTGATGTCATAGTGTAGTGGAGTACGCCCGTTCATCACTACTGCGTGGTGGGAAGTTAAACCACAAGTCACGCTTCAAGTTACACTGCTGGGTTTGATTTCCTTTATGGGGTGTATTGGAATGAAAGGACAGTGGATCTGTGTTGTGGCTTCACACAAGAACAAAATCAACTTTTAAAACATGTTTCAAGTTGTTGAATCTGGTGCATATGTTGTACTGTGACCCAGTTTGTGTTAACAGCAGCAGGTGGACGAGACAACAGGCAGGCACTGAGAGGACAGCCCTGTGAGGCCCCTTGGTATAATGTTCATATGAGATTTGAGTAACCATGGTTACATCCTCTGCCCCAGCGGAGCAACAGAAGTTGTCCTTTAAACTCAGGAGACATGATGTTGGGTAAGAGGCCGTGACCATGGCTCTCGTTAAAGAGCTTTAATTTGTGAGACAAAAATAAAAACAAAAAAAAGATTAATGTATGTAGTTCAATTTCAGCATCGTCCATGTTAGCGGTCAATAAAGAATAGAGGGAGGGGCACTTCCTACTTACAGAGCAGGTGACAGGGGTGTGGCCTCAGGCAGGGCGGGGCAGCGCAGCGGTGAGAGCGCAGCCTAGCCGTAGCGTAGCCTGGCCTTAGCACAGTCTAGCTTAAGCACAGCTTTAGCCACAGCGTAGACTAGCCGTAGCGAGGTAGCGTAGGCTCAAGGCTGCGCTAGTCCTTGCCAAGCTTCTGTCAAGTCACAGCAGCAACGGCACAAGCACATGGAACAGACTGAGAGACACTCAAAGCATCATGGGTAGGACGGGGGAAGAGGGGTCAAAGGTGAGAAGACAGAGCAAGGTTTTCTGAGAGAGCAACGTAAAGGGAAAAGGGTTATTTGAAGGTTTAGTAGACACAGAGGAGGAGCTCTATTGTCCAAATATCCCCAACACAGGACACAATGCACGATCGTGGTGCATTTACTTCCCCCACAACATCAAACACAAGGCCACAAAACATTTAGTCTGATGTAAATGCAGCAAACAATTCCATACAAGCCAGCTAGCATTCAATTTCTCTTTATTTTGTGACAATTTGTGACAAAACAACTTATAAAAAGGCCAATTCAGCTGTGTGCTCTGAACTAATCTTCTGTTTATAATTCAAGGCGTAAAACCTTAAAACCTCAGTGTTTTTCTGGCCTTTGCCAGAACTAAAGGGATATTTGAGGAACAGAGCACTCTACAGGGTGTGTGAGGTGCAGTGGCAGCTGACAGACCAACAGACAGATGAAGCAGACACAAGGACCACAGCGCTTCGCTTTCTGTACCAAACAAATCAACATCTTTAATAAAACGTATAGGTACCAAACTGCAATACAACTTTATGAAAAAAATCTCACAATTCACACAAGTTTTCAAACGTACAAATGCTACAAAAATGGGTTGCAATCCAGGCAATAAAAAAAAAAAAATTAAAAAAGCACCATAGAAATAGGTAAACTCTTTTTTTTTTTTTTAAAAAGGCAACTTTGCAGAGAAACCAGCAGCAAGAGAGGTAGGGATGGTCGAGCTAAAGTCTGAGAACAGCTGCCTTAGCAGAAACAAAGACACAAGCTGTGACGGGGCTCAGAGACACAGTACTGTCTGGCTTAACAGCGAGGGGCTGTAAGATTTGGTCAATAACCTTGGTCGAAGGAGTCATCAGACGAGCTGAGGCCCGCTTCCTCCAGCAGCAGGGATAAGTGGTTGTGTTTCTTCTTCTGGGACTTCTGACTGGACAGCAGTGATGTCGGCGACGACGCAGATCGCCTCTTCCTGGTCAGGTTGCCGTGGGAACGCGTCCCTGAGAGAGGGGGCCAGCCCCCTCGAGCAGAATTGCGCTCCTCTGAATCAGAGTCTGGTGCAGAGAAAGTGAGGTTACGAATCATGACGACACAAGGATAAAAAAAAAAAAAAACAAAAGTCACACATAGATTTCTGCTGCTGAGTTTTCTTAGCTACTGCTCAACAGAACTATTTCACCTGATGGATTTGGTCCTGTTTAACAACTGACCTAGTTTCCTTCCATTACAACGACACCGTGTCCTCCAACAGGCAGGTGTCAGGGAAAAGAGGCGCATTGGAAGGTTTGAGATGAGCAATCATCATATTCTGCTTTCCCACCAAAAGCACAATGTATATGTGGGTTTTTTAATACCTGGCTAAACCCGCCTTTGACCGGCTTCTGACGGGTTTCCCACTGCTGACCGACACGGCTCGGCTGTCCAGCAGACGAGCTTCTTCCCCTCTGGTAAGTCATATTTGCTGTCATCATGTTGGCGATGTCAAATACATGCGCCGGTAAACAGATTTGTAAACAAAGCAGCATAGAAGCTAGTGAGACGGTCATTTATTGACTTTTGTTCATCTTCCAATGTATAGAAACTCTGTGTAGACTGACCCATGTTAGAGTCTTGACTGAACAAAGATGGGTGGGATTTATGGCTGAGACTGCTGATGACGACATGTGCATCATTGCGTACAATCGCAGGTTTAGGCGAGTTTGGCTTTCCCATTGTTTCCGAGCCGAGGTAAAGCGGACAACAGTCTTTTGTCCCGGTAGCTGCATTCCCATGGCCGTCAAAAGCCGAGGTGTGGTGAGTGTACATGGGTTTTTTTTGGGCAGTGGCAAAAGGACTACACCCTCTTAAGCTACTACGTTCACATCACAGCTGAACTGACTCGGACGATTTCTTTTTTCCCCTTCCCTGATCCTTTCACAGAAGTATGAACATGCCAAATCAGATGTTCTCAGATCAGATCAGGGCCACTTGCATATGTATCGTAACCCAGCAGTTTGGAAGGAAACTGTGGTGCGAGTGTTGCACACATGACTTGGTCGATATTCTTGTATGTGCACGGCTCACATTTCAGTTAAATCTGAGCATGTGTGGTGGTTTAGGAGCTCAGCGGTGTTCACACCAGAGCCAGATACATGTCACTTACACACATAGATGTGAAGCAGCAACACAAAAAGATTGGAATTGAGAGCCACAAAAAAAAAAAAAAAAAAAGAAAGAAACATGGCTGATTCAGGAGTATGACGATATTCTTAATGTTTCTTAGTGTCAGTGAATCCCATGAAAAGCCAGACCAGCAATGTGTTTTCTGGCTTCACTACTCTTTATGTGGCCATCTTGAAGACATGAGTCATCACAATTTCTTTTAAATAAGTTGGGCACTGTAGATTTTAACAAACAGAAACAGTGTATTAGTTTGGGACTATTTTCAGGGGCGGATGAACACGTTTAGTTTCTAGTGAGTGCTTATGGCAGAAGGAGGGTGTATGTGAGATTCACTTCAAATAAGCTACAGTTTGTGCAGGAAGACGTTACTCGGTGCAACAGTGCGAGTCAGCTGTGAACAGTAGTGGAGTCACGGTTGGTCTTTCATGGAATTTACATAGTTCAACAAAACGATCCAATCTCAGTGTCAGCTTACTGTCTTTTTCTGGAACGCTAGTAAGTAGACTTTGGCATTAGACTTATTTGTCTACAGAATACTGCCACACATTGCATCACTTACAATTACACATTGTCTGTCCTCAGGTACTCACTGTTGGAGCAGCTGCTGAGCTCTGATCTCACAGGAGAGAACAAAGCAAACTTCTCCTGGCCTTTCACCTTGCAGACAGCCTCTGCAGTGGAAGCCTTCGTGGCCATCTTGTGTTTCCCTCCTTTGTTGGAGGAACGGATGCTGTGCTCCTTCATCCGACTTTCGGCAGTCTTTCCCTTTGACTTGTCTAATTTCTTGTTGCAAGTAAGTCTGCGAGATGCTCCGAGTGAGCCGAGCTGTGAGAGTGAAAGAGCTCTGTCGAGGTCTGACGCCAGCTGTTCCTGCTCACACACGTGGCCGCGCTTTGCCTTCAACACCTGACATCAAAACAAACACTTTCATTAACCGATCAGAACTTTACACTGCCGCCAAAATCAAAACACGCGCTTCTAAGTGACTCACCTCCAGAGCATGACTGGTGGATGGCTCCTGGTCGTTCCAGTTCTTCTTCTTCTTCTTTTTCACCTTTGCTCCTCCACTTCCTGCCTCCGTTTCCTCTTCGTCTCTGGATATCCGGAACTTCTTCCTCTGCCCTTCACCAGCTTCAGAGTCCTCAGAGTACTGCACTGTCCTACCCACCCTGAGACACAGAAAACGTGAAGCCAAAAACTGAACGTGCATCTGCCAAGACCTGTGAAATGGGATGAGCCCAGGCTGAGCTGAGCTGAGCTGAAGACCACACTCACTTTCCAGGCCTGCTGTCCAGTTTTGGAGGTGTGGCCAGATGTTTTCTCTTCCTGGGTCGTCCTCTGCCCCGTCTGGTCAGGCTCCGCCTCTCATCTTCCTGCTGCTGTCGCTCACTGACGTAAGCAAAAAAAAGACTTATCATAGGTGTGTTTTTATCTGGGTGGGGATGTGGCAGCATTTTCTGCAGACGTGATGTGTCAGTGTGTGTGATTTAGTTCATCTTGTGTGTGATAACTCACCGCTTGTCTCTGCGTCTCTGCAGCTTGCTCAGCTCCCTCTGCTTCTCCTTATATGTCTTCTGCAGCTCAGCCAAGTGGATGCGGTATTCCACTTCCACTGCGTCCAACAGGTCTACAGACATTTTACTGTACAGCTGCAGGGAGGAGACGCAGGAACAAGAGAAACAAGTGACACCTGTGTCACAACATTTCACAAATCTCTGGTTGACGTTAATGTTTCTTTTCATCGTACCGGTTGCCCCTTTCTTTGCCTCCAGCTGTACTTCTTGTCGGGGTCCAGCATCCTGGGCAGATCAATGTGGGACTGTTTCTCTATGGCCTCCAACAGAACTTGCCTGCTTGCTTGAAGAAGGCAGTCCAGACCCTCTAATGTCACATCTGGGCAGGATATAGAAAGTATTAAATTATTAAACATACATAAAAAACCCCTAAATTTATCTCCTTTACTTCCTTCTTTCATTCTCCCTCTCTTCTAGCCCTCACCCCTCTACTCACCTTGCTCCATCTCCCTCTGGGCCATCTGGCTGAGGAGGGCCATCCCCTCCAGAGCCACCATCTCCAGAGGCCCTGTGCTGCCACTGTCTGCATCTACAGGAGGGTTGTCTATCTGTGGTAGGAGCGTCGGGGCGGGTGGAGTGCTGGGGCGGGCCTGGGCGGCCAGCTCGCTGGCTACCAGCAGGGCGAGCATCCCCGCCATGGGATCGTCTGCACCCATAACCAGTGAGAGTTGGAGGTGGGAGGGGGATAAGCAGGCGTCTCGGTGACACTTTCTTTCTGACTGGGAGTGTGTGAGCTGATTGGAGTGTCTGGCTGCTCTTGTTCACACAACACAAATGTGGTTTGCTCGAGTGATCCACATGTCTGAGCCGATTCCTGGCTGTCTGAGTCTGCAGTGATGCACGATGAATATGGTGTTTGGTCTGGATCCCGGATGAGCTCTGGTTCAGGCTCAGCTTCTGAGAGCGGAGGAGGCAGAGGATATGCTGACTGACAGGAGTACGATGACACTTCCATTTTGATTTGACTTCCTTCCTTCTCATCCTCACTGACTTCTTCCAGTCTGTCACCTTGTTGTGGTGGAGGACTGGGGACGTGCAGAGGTAGTGGCTGAGGCTGGGGC